TCAGAGGAATCATAAATCTCAAGACCCAGAAAATAGCAAAGACGACCCAAACTCTTCATCTCAAAATTCTATCGAAGATAATTCTGTAAGTCGGAAATACCTAAAACATCATCCCCCGTGATGATCATATAATCAACATAGAGCAACAAAACAATGATCCCAGATGAAGAGCGCCGAAGAAATAGGGCAGAATCGTGATCACTCGTAGTGAAACCAAACTGAAACAATGTAGAACTGAACGTGGCGTACCAAGCACGAGGGGCTTGTTTCAAGCCATACAAAGCTCGGCGCAGACGACAAACCTTCCCAGAGGACAAGAACCCAGGAGGAGGAGTCATGTAAACCTCCTCAGATAATGCACCGTGCAAGAAGGCATTCTTAACATCTAACTGTAAAAGAGACCATCGATGAACTGCAGCAACTGCAAGTAAACAGCGTACAGTAGTAAGACGAGCAACCGGTGCAAATGTCTCTTCATAATCTATGCCATACTCCTGTGAGTACCCCTTAGCAACAAGACGAGCTTTGTAGCGCTCAATAGACTCATCTGAATTTGTTTTGATCTTGTAAACCCATTTGCATCCGATGGGTTGCTTGCCAGCAGGTAGATAAACTAGATCCCAAGTATGAGTGTTGTCTAAGGCCTGCAATTCCTCAGCCATAGCTTGTTGCCACAATGGATCAATACTCGCCTCACGAAAAGACCTAGGCTCATGATGAGATAATATGGCCGAATAACAATGATAATCAAGTAAGTGAGAAGGGGGATGACTTACACGAGTCGACCGTCGCTGATCAATAGCTGGCAAAAGTACAGAACCAAGAGAGGGCTCATTACGAACCGTCGGTTCAGGATGCACTGGTGGAGCCACTTCAGAAGACGGAGACATGACAGGCGTGTAAATGAGCTGAGAGTCAGAACCTGTATCTATATCTGGAAAAAGATCAGAAGTAATAGACATGAATAAAGGAGACGCTGAATCAAACGGAATGTGGAACTTAGACAAGGAGGAAAAAGTAGTATGCTCCCAAAAGGTAACATGACGCGAGATACGCAACCTATTAGAAATCAGATCCCAACACCTAAATCCTTTGTGTTCCACCCCATAACCCAAAAAACAACACAGATGAGCTCGGGGTTCTAATTTGGTCCGCTCATGGGATGGAAGGAGAACAAAGCAAGCACAACCAAAAGATGTAACTGAGTATAATTAGGAGACTGACCGTACAACCTCTCAAAAGGACTGACATCCCTAATGACTGATGAGGGTAACCGATTGATAGCATAAACCGCAGTCAAGGCTGCCTCACCCCAAAAATGATCAGGACACTGAGCAGAAAGAAGAAGAGCACAGACAGTATCAAGAATGTGACGGTGCTTACGTTCAGCTCGTCCATTTTGTTGGGAAGTATATGGACACGAATGTTGAACTAAGGTGCCCTGATCAGAAAGAAATTTCAAAAAAGTAGAATCTTTGTACTCAAGAGCATTGTCAGTACGCAAGACCTTTATAGGACAAGAAAATTTTGTAATAATCATTTTAGCAAATTGAACATATATGCTGGACAACTCAGAATGATTTTTGAGAAAATAGATCCATGTAAAACGAGAAAAATCATCAACAAAAATAACAAAATACCTAAAACCACTCAGAGAAGCAACAGGAGAAGGACCCCAAATATCAGAATGTACCAAACCAAAATGTTTATCTACAGTTGACAAACTATCAGAAAAAGAAAGAGCCATTTTTTCCAAGGTTTGCAATGAAGACAACTAAAAGACTCAAAATGACCTGAATCCAAAAGACCTTTATTATGTAAAGAATGAACTTTATTCGAAGACGCATGCCCAAGACGAAGATGCCACTGGAAACTAGACTTACTATCGGTGGCAGAAGCAAAAAAAGTGTAAGAACGAGGGACATGAAGTGACTCAAGCTCAATGAACTGGCCCATCTTGAGACCTTTCTCGAGAAGCTGTCCCGTCTGTGAATCCTGAACCTGAACACCAGAAGATGAAAATATAACATTAAGACCTTGGTCAACCAATTGACCAACAGAAATAAGATTCAAGGCCAGGTCAGGAATGCAGTATGTGTCGGGAAGATGCAAGGAAGGGGAAGAAATCAAACCAGTGTGAGTAACATTCATAAGAGTACCATTAGCAGTATGTATAGGTGGTAAAAAGGTTACAGAAGACGAGGAAGACAAAAGCTGGGGGCTAGAGGTCATGTGATTGCAACAGCCAGAATTAAAATACCAATGTGATTTACCTCCGGTAGCAGACATAGAAGAATTGGAAAGAAGAACCTGTTTGAGAATAGCCTCTATGTCTTGAAGAGTGTAAGACGAATGCTGAGGCTCAGTAGTGACAGCCGCTGTAACAGAAGAAGTGGCGGTAGAGGAAGACCCATGATGCCGAGAGAATGAACCTCTCGAACGGTGTGATCTGGCTGGACAATATGTAGCAATATGACCCCGAACATGCCAAATGTGGCATACCACCGTAGGACACAATGGAGCAATATGACCCTGAACATGGCAAATGTGGCAGACCACCATAGAAGAATCCATATCGAAAAAAATAAAGAAGCACCAGCAACCAGCAACAGTACGAAGACAAAAGAAAATCACGAACTGGATCACAAACCGGATAAAATAGCAGTAAAAGGTCGAAATTAAAAACGGCACGAAAACCAAAACCGACCACACCAGGACGTAGCCGCCGATGAGAGGAGTCGACGGCTGAAGAATCACGGCGATCGGAGCTGGGGGTGAATCTCACGCTCTGGCTGAAGCTGCCAGCACTGTCGCAATGTTCCGGCGAGTGTGGGTCTCACGCGCCTCCGAACG